GCAGTTTTTTCACGAAAAAATTATCTTGTGCCCTAATGCAATTTCATTAATGCTTAAAGACTATTTCTGGATGTCTATTAACCAGGTATTCTGGTAAAATTATTTTCTGCTTTGCTTCCAGACTATGTAAGCACACATGATTGGTAAATGATATATCTTTATCTAATTACTTTTATTCCATAACAAAGTATTTAGATAGTGTCAGTTACACAACCTAAATCATCATAAGAATATTCATATGTAGAAACACAGCTCACATGTTTACACTTGTTTTTCAGTGGTTCTGCTTGTACATTCTGGCCTCGACTTTAACTTTCAAAAGGACTAACGATTGGTTGCTAGTTTTTTCTTTTTTTTTTTACAAGTAAATTCAGGACTACTGAGAGCAACAGTATAATTCTTCTCTGAAATTAACTATAAATATGCCATAAATAATCATGTCATATCTTAGATGTTATTCAAGGTCCTCACTAACCAGGAATCCTGAGTGTTTCACACACACACATTTCTTATTTCATGCACAAAAACCAAGTCATATGGGTACACCCTCACATGGAAATTTTGATTCATGCAATTGAAAAAGTAAATAAATGTAGTAATTTCAGTATCCTAACACTGTTAATGACTTTAGAGCAATTTCCAGTGTCAAACATATTAATGTTTTGAGGCAGGTATAAGATACATGTACATAGTACACATTACAAATTGAATTGACTCATGTAAGCAACAGCTGACCTCAGTCATGCAAATATCAATGACTGATTTGCATATTTAAAGGTGAGCTGTCTAGCAGGTGCCCCGTTAAATGGTCACATCTGATAAGTCTGGCCTTCATACCTATAAGCTTGCAATCAAAAGAAACATAACTTTTAATTTGATTATCAAGCATCTTGTTTCTAAGGTGGTTGAAATTTTAATCATGAGCAGTTGCTCGCTGCACTTCTGTAGACGAATGGTAATTGGCAATCAGTCTGATCATTAGACTAAAGTATGCCTACTTTGAATTGAAATTATTATACAATGATCACACACACACACACACTTGTTTTAAAGATTTCAAAACTTCATCCTAAGAATTTGACACTCAAGGGTATTTTACCCTCAGTTCAGAAATTCTATGGAAAACCTTGTTAATAAATATATAAATAGCATATTTATATGTATAAATCTTCTGTGTCATGTTTTCTTTTCAAATATTTTTGAATATTAAGAATCATTTCAATTACAAATAACAGTGTTATTATTTTAACCATTTCATAAAAGTTAAATTTGTATGGAAATTGATGTATCTAGGCTACAAGCACCTAGATCAGCAAAGTCTATAATATATCACTGCTGATGGCCATCCTATAATTAAAAAAAATATATTTAATTGTTAAAAGTTATGATTAAATGCCAAAAGCTAGAGAAACCAATAAGCCAAATATTTGTGTTAATCCAATTGAGAAGAAAGTAGAAAAACTGCTGTTTATAAGATTTTATATTTACTACTTCCAATAAGCAACCATTTTGGTACTGTAGTTTTTAATCATGTAGCCAACAAAACTGCACTTTAAAGGCCAGATGGTGTAAGTCTAGCTGGCTGGCCCACTTGTTAATTGCCTTGGCAACCACACAAATGGGTTGAAGCTGTGATCTCACTATCCTCATTAATTAGTACTTGGCCTGGATATGACATATAGCTCAAATAAGGATCACAAAACTAGCATGGCACCAGCAAGCAAAACAATCTTGTTAATCACAATAATATTAACTTTCTATATTCAGAATCTCTTAATATAAATTACTAAAATTAATATACCACAAGTGCACTGATACTTGCTATTAAGAATCTGCCAATCTTCCTAATGAAATGCACAATTCCAATTTTTTTCTAATTTATTTTAATTTTTACTAACAAAACTGCAACACTAAACAGCAATTTGCTAACATTAATTTCAAGCCACAACATTGTACATTTTTATAGTTAAATTGGCCTACAGTATATTAGGTGCTACAGAGCAGTGTTTCCCAACCAGTTTGGTGCAGATCATTATTTGCTGGGGTGTAAAACTTTGTATGAATATATAGTAATTAATGTTACCAGGATGCAGTGAAATATTCAAAAGATCTACCAGGATGCAATAGCTTTTGGGTTCAGAAACACTGCTATAGAGAACCACATACCTCTATTGAGAGATGAAGACATTTTTAGCCTATAAATAGTTTAGAACTGTATCAATTCTATGAGTTTTTAAGTAAAAGCAAAGAATAATATGTCAACCACAGTATATCTGCCATATCCAGTGCCAATGAGTTATTTTGCTTAACACCAGGGCTCATCAGGCCAGCTGGGATACAGTAAATAAAATACCCCTATTGAAAAACCAAGGTATTTTTAGTTTATGACTATATCAGTTCAAAGGACTTATAAGTGGAATTAAAGAAAATATGAAATATGTCAAACATAATGCTAGTGTGTGCAGAATCTGTGTAATTTGGTCAATTTAGTTTACAGTATATCCTTATACAATGACTTTTTCTCTACCTACACCAATGCTTTATTTGAGTAGTAGGGTAATATTTACTAATCAAATACCTACCATCAATGCTCCAAATAGCCTAACTGATATGCAGTCACCAACTTCCCTATATTAAACTCAGGTTTTAAAATTTCCTGTGAAGCCAATTTTATCACATTATATCACCCACAAAAAATGTAGCTCAATAATGAATAATTAATGCATTCAATGTAGTCAATATTAAAACAATAATGCTATCACTTTTGTTGTATTTAATAATAGGGTTAAATGTATACCTATCTCTTGTTTTTTCTACATATTTAATATTTTCCATTTTTCTACAAACACATTTGGTGAATCCTGATGCACATTTGTGATAGAAGAAAGTGAGATATGTTAATTTATGTCACAATTTCATTTTTAATATTGTTCCGTGTAATGATTAGTTAAAGGTTTGTAAATTCCAGCATATGTTTTCAGTAATTAAATCAAAATGTGTATGGTATATTTTTGTGTACATAATAATAAAAAAAATTTCCTTTATATGAAAAACATATTTAATAAGTTAACCTACATATGGTAGATGCTTGTATTAAGTTTTACTTTTTACATAAATAATAAAAATAAAATATCTTGCTCTAAGAGTAAATATTAGGTTGTAAATAATTTTACTTTTGATAAAAGATATACTACAGGGTGTTCAAGAATTTTGGAAACACTTTTGAAAAATCATACATAGAAAATCATTTAACATAAACATATACACAGTTTGCTGCATGTGCAAGAATAACGTTTAAAGATTTTAGCAGTCCTTATAAATGTTATTAACATGTTATTCAAGCAGGATGATGCCCCTCCACAATGGAGTTTTTAACAGCCAAAAACACAAACAGCCACTACAACCCCGGCTGAAACATAAAAAAAGTAATTTATTGAACTTTGACAACCATTTAAATCCAAAATGAAACTTTCAAACAATTGGAATGTAAAGTTCATCACTTACAAAATCACAATTAATAAATATGTGTCTGGCCAGGACTTGATACTAATACTAATAAATACAACATAAATTTCAAAGTTAATTATTTCAATAAATAAAGTAATTAGGAAAAAAGAACCAAAGAAAAAACCTAATTACAAAATAACAATATTCCTATTTAAACATCTACAAAAATCTCTAAAACCATCGAGCAATAATTAGCAATAATACTTTAGTTGTACCTTGTGAACTAACACACTGAAGCTCATGGCAGGGTTTTTATTTTGTCTTAGACTCTGTGATTACCTCTCATGTGAGTAGCTAATTTATTACTATTAAACGTAAATAATCTTTCACAACATTAATAGCATCTGTAAGTAACCGCTAGCGGAAGCTGGTGTCAGTTTCATAATACATACATACATACTTACTCAAAATCAACGTGATTAGCTAGAAGGTAAGCAGTTTAATATAAATAAAACTTCATAGCTAAACTAAACAATAGAAGGAATAATAAGTGAACAGCAAACAAAACCATAATAAAATAAAAGTAAAATTCATTATCTCACAAGCATTATTGTTCACTACACACTTGATGAAATATTCCCCAGTCAGTGGATTGGGTGGGGAGGTTTAATCAGTAGGCTCCCACATCCTCTGGACACTACACCTATGATTTTTTTATTTCTTTCTTTATGCAGCTTCACATAGGACATGGTTTACACAAGTAAGCTTGTGAGTAAGGATGAATTCCATCAATATATCCAAAAAGTGTTAAAAAAGGTTACTTCCACAATGTTGCAAGACACTTGGTACGAGATAGGGTACAAACTGCACATTTTGCAAATAACTAGTGATACACATGTTCAACTATTGCAATTGTATGCTGTAAAAACACTTTCAAAAAGTTAAACCATTATTCTTGCAGTGCAACAAACTGTGTGTCTACATGATTTTTCAAGTGTTTCCATATTTCTTAGATACCCTGTATTTTAACTATAAGATGATGTATTTGAATTATCCTTTATGTCAAAATGTTTTTCTTGCAACGTGCAATACATCTATAATTTATAAGTATTAGTATTAAACCTATTATTAATATTATTACAAAAATGGCACTCTGCAAGTAACTGGAAATGCAAGTTAGCATAATTAATGCTAAAAGTAAAAGTAGTTACATGTCTATTTTTTATTATTCGACTCAAAAACGATTTTTGTCACTAACGTTTATTTTTCACCCTTGAAATAGATATAAAACTGTCCAAAGACATAAGCAAAATACTTCAATATTCACTTAACAACAACCTCACAAGTTATATAATCTACCGTTAGGTGGCAGTAAAATCTCATAACCTAAGCCTAATTTTCTATTTGACTGGATGAACATTATTTTATTCTAATGCTAAGCCTACTTTGATGGCCCTTCTACTTTGAATGTTATTCTTTTTAGTGCTATTAGAAGCTTGCTCCACTTGAAACAATTAAAACCAAGCTAACCTTAAATCTTTAAATTCACTTACAGGAAAAGCCCTTATTCTCATTTTAGTGTCCTTCTTGCCCTGTTTCAAACTCATCTTGCAGTCTTCAAACTTTAAAAGGCGTCTAAACACATCTACAACAATCAAACTACATTCAATACGTTTAAATAAAAGGCTTTTAAATCTAATTTCCTGTTTTTTAATTTTGTTTTAGAATTTCTCTAACTGACCAAGGCCCTGAGTTCTACAGTAGGCCTAGTACAGCTATAAAATCAACTTTGACTAACACCATTCTTCCAAACCACAGCATGTGAAGACGATCGACTATTTCTTTTTTTCAACAACTCGATACAATAAAGTGTCATATTCTATAGAACTAAAAAGTTTAAAATAATTAAATAAGTAAAGACTATAAAACAAGTATTTAATCTAAATAAATTACAATATTTACAGGTATAAAATTATACTATTTTAAGTATTTATTAAAATATTTCTGCATGCCTGTTATGGGAATATTATACAAAATTTGTCTTAGTTCTCGGTAGTAACTATTAACACTAGTAGCATATTGTATGAAATTTTGGACGGTTACTATCACCGTCATTCTATGGTGAAATATTTAGCTTACAACGCTAGAAACCGGGTTTCGATAACCGTGGTAGGCAGAGCACAGAGAGCCTATTGTGTAGCTTTGTGCTTAACTTCAAACAAGACAAATAATAAATGATATTGTTACGTCTCTGGTCGTTTGTTAATTTCCGGTATAAATTCGTTCCGAAGAACTTCAGCGATACAAGTCCTTTCTTACTCAAAACAAATTTATTCTTTCTCGATATAACTTTGCAATACACAGAATTTCCACAGTCAGTTTAACTTAACTAATTTTATAAAAACACGCTATAATTCACGGGTATTCACACACTTACTTACGGCTTGACTCGATTATCTCTATCTTCAATCTCTCTATCTATGCCATTATTTCTCCGCTTTATTTGCCGGGCTTATATACAAAAAAGAGAGCGCCTAGAACAGACTAGAGTTGCCAGGAAAAGTAAAGATCATTCGAGAGTCTCATGACGTGTTACCA